GTGTAATGCATGTTGAATAATTTGCCAAAAATGTATTCGGTGGATTAGTTAATCTCATTAAAACATGATCTACATTGTGATAAATAAAAACAAGCAGATATTGTGATTTTTTTTTACAATAATTTCATATTATTTACTGATGTAAAACAAGGTTTGTTTATAGTAGAACGCAGCATTTATGTTTTACTTCAATGTCTGATATTGGTGACTAGTTTTAATAAAACACAGCATCATTTGCAATTCACTCATATTTCAGCACATCATACAGTATGAGACATTTAACATGATATCAGTTTAGGCAAAATTGTTTATAATAAATTGGTTAAGCCTCACTGATGGAGATGCTAAAATATATGGAGACGATGGAGAGAAAATTAGGAAAAGAATAGGGAAAAAGTGTCATAGTTTGAACTGTTAATGCTGCATTGAGCAAAATCCATAATCACAATATTAGAAAATATTGTGATTATATTAGAAAATATTGTGATATTAAAAAAAATTCTCTAAATCAGTCGTTTTAATTTTTTAACTCACCTTTCGTTGCCGAAAAGTTGGGATCTTAAAGCGGCTGATGGGATCCAAACGAGCAACTTTCAACCTGTGAGCAGAGCAAAAAATATCTCTAATCATACATTTATTTTTTATTTATCTTTTCCTAATTTAAATGTTTTAATTTTTCACTACAATATCTTCTAAATTATTGGTTATTTTTCAATTTATCTTAACTTTTTCTTTATAAAATTCAGTTTTTCAGACTTGACAGTTAAAAAAGTAGAAATCTGTTGTGAGGATGCACCTGTTTTCATAAGATCTACGGTTGTGCAGGTTCTGGTTCTGATGCTGGTTTTGGACAGGAACGTGTGCCGTCGGAGCAGCAGCAGTCTCTGACTGAGAGGAAAGTGTGTCCCAGTCCCTGCGTACGTCCCCTGCGTCCCCCACAGAGACATCTGATGGATCAGAGTGAGAGAGGAGCTCCTGGTCCAACCAGTCCACCTCCTAAAAAACAGAACACAACTTTTAAACATTCATCATTAATATTTAATTTTCTTTTCTGTCAGGTCTTACCCTTCTTGTTCTGGACCTGTTTGGTAGAACCGCTGCAGATATTTGGTCCATCACCACATGGAGAACCAAGACCAGCATCACACATCTGGAGCAGACCATCTGAGTGGAGTGGAACCAGTCAGTCATCCTTTTCATCACACGGGTCAGAGCCATTTAAAAAATAAAAAATAAAACAGAAGCTCACCTTGAATCTCCCGAGGTTCTCTGAGGATCTCTGCTGCTTCTCGGTCGCCGCTCTGCATCTTSGATCGGAGCAGAGGTGGTATTTGTAGCCACGATTCAAGGGTGGGATTATATATTCTGGCACTATAATGGGACTGTTTGGGCTCAGCCAATTAAATGTGCCGCCTCTCTGGCCAGCTTCGTTTGTTTCAAACCTCTGTAGTTGCTCTGGAGTGATGACAGCATGCCTTAACACACGTACATATATTCACATTACATATCCACACACACACACACACACACACACACACTTAGCAAT